ATTTCCAGCAGCTTCCTATAGCTTACCTACTTCTTTGTAATTCGCTAAAGGCAGTTGTTACCAGATATGGTGCATATCCGGTATGGGAAACACATGGCCCTCCAAATATTGTTGGACTGCAACTCCCACTGTCCCCCACCCTTAGCTATGCTGGCTAGGGCTCATGGAAGCTACAGTACAACAGGCCATGCATTCTCAGCTCTCTTGCACACAGATAAGTAACATTGGCTTTTTAACATTGGTGATAGATTGCACAGAACATGATCAGGAGAAATGCCAAGGCAGACAATTCTCAGTGATTAGAAATGCACGTTTTCCCTGTTATGTTTCAAAGAATGGGGCACTTCCGTAGAATCAACGTTGCTGTTACATAATAGTTTGTACTATAGCCAAGGGGCAAGTATAGTACAGAACACAGAAATCACGCACATCCTTCCAGCATGCTTACATTCTTGATTAAATTGGCGGGTTTAGCTGCATCATACTCTGCTGGTAAATGCTTCATTATTTATTCATAACATTTGTAATCCAACCAATAAGCACTACTCTGGGCTGATCGCAAACAATTAATGGTCAGTAAGAATGGACTTGAAAGCATAAGAACAGCCTTATGGATCAGAGCAAGATGAATCTAATCCAGGATCTTCTTTATCTGACTGGATGCTCCTGGAAGCTCATCCCCCAGTGCCTGGTGGTATTAGTGGCTTATGGCCCCAGAAGTGGAAAGTTCCCATCTAGCAACTATGGCCAGTAACTGCTGATAGACATATTCTCAATGACTTTCTCTAAGGAAAAGTTAGTTAGTTGTGGAGGGACAGGTACAAAGCGGTCAAAAGAAACTGTTTTACATCAGTAACTAGCTTTGCTGTCTTCTGCTGCCTATGAAGGAATTAGCTATGGATGCAGACTTAATAGACGAATTTGGCCACTCTTAAGTCTCCTTTATTTCACCAGGAGAGAAAATACGTTGCAATGCCCCATTGAGATCAGTGGGATTTACAGTGCAATCAAAAGTTAAGTCCCATCAAGTGCAATGGGGCTTTTTCCCAGGTAAGTGTCTGCAGAGTCCCAGCCTTTGATGGGATTAACTCTGCCTGGACTCTGTTTGATGCTTGAAAATTACGACTGTTCATACCTGCTCAGTGAATTCCGAGAAGAGGTTTCCATTTGTAGAGCCTGGGGTGTCTTGGCTGTTGGATGGTGTATTTCTGTCTGCAAAGGGACAATGGTATGGTTTTGTAAACCTGTGGGACTAGAACATTGATCTTCACACGGTGGTTTGGAAGCTACTACTGTACTGCACCCTGACCTAAGGGGCATTGCAGCAGTAGCAATACCACTGCATAAACGCATGGTAAAAAATTAAGAAGTGTATTCAAAATATTTTATACCAGCTTTCAAGGCAAAGCCTTAAGAAAACAAAAACAAATGTATGGTACAATTAATTAAAACTTGTAAAAACAAAGCAACAGTAAAGACTCCCATTTGTAAAATGAATATGGGCTTCCAGTCATTTAAAACTCAACTAGAACATTCAGGTCTTAATGGGCTATTTAAAAACAGTCAAAGGGAGTCCCCACTCCCCACCCCTCCTCCACCACCACATGGTAGGACATTCCGCAAGGATAGGGTCACCACAGAGAATATGCTCAGCTCACTGACCTAATCTTATTGGTACACACATGAACAGGCTTCTGTAGCCAATCTTTGGGTCCAGGCAGCTGCAGGCTGTCCTTAAAGTAACCTGGTCCCTGAAGCACCAAAAGTGCACCAGCAACTCTTGCAGCTGGTGCAGAATCAGTGTTATATGCTCTGATCCCACAGGTCTTACAAACAATCAGGCAGCTGCGTTCTGAACTGTCTTTATGCACTCCATACAGACTGCATTACAATAGTCTGGTACGGATGTAACTAGCGTATGGGTGACTATAGCAAGGTCCACTTTCTCCACATGGAAAATTAAATGTTTGGGCTAAACATGGCCTTTAACCACAGCTAAAGCTGAGTCTCATTTAGGAAAGTTCTCAGCCCTTAGAGGAATGTGTGGGGTAAACACAGGGAAGCAACTTTTGGCTTTTTTGTTTTTGGCAGGACACGTTGCCAGCTAACCTGTAGTTGTATTTTGAGGCAGATAAACAAAATGAAAGAGAAACTCTCAGTTATATTTGTAAATTTTGAAACTGTAATGTGGATTTGCTTAAACCTACATCACACTTTGCTGTACAATATTGCTATATTCTCACACTTTAATTCTCTGAATGGTGAGAATTCCAGGGGTGCAAACTTCAAAAAATATCCAAGTCTGTGTTTCCTTAAAAGCTCACTGGAGAGTTATGGCATTTTGTAATAGATGCTTTTTTGATCTACGTATACAGGCTGAGCATGAGTGGAGGGAGGCTTACCATGTTGACACTGCAACAGATTCCTGCTTTCCAACTAGGTTTCCAGGGAGGGAACATTATACCATAAAGGTTGTTTCAGAGTGCTAACGATGCTCTGACACCTGCATCCCAATCTGGCCTTGTCCAGCTACACAGAGAATCAATTTTACCTGATAAAGCTAGACCTGTTTGGTTTTGGCAGTGTTGAATTGTTCGTCTGTGGTCAACCAGACTTCAGTAAGCTAGATGCGACCTGGATCACCAAAACTCCACCCACCCTATCTCAATATAATACTCTTCAACCACAGAAAGAGAGAGAGAATGGGGGAGTGGGGCTCACATTTATCAGGAAGACATAGGTCACTTCCTCCAAAATGTGTAGAGATAATGTAATCACTCAGAACTGAGGAAAGCAATTTTGCCAGTTGGCCAGGCATTCAGTTCTCCAGTTAAGCTCAAGAAAATGTAGGTCCAGCTAAGGAGTTTTAAAGGATTTTGATTCTAAGGCAGTCTGACACAAGTAAGCTTGTGGTCATCAAGGATGGATCTTCCAGTTTTAGGTTTAGCAATTAAAGCAACCCAATTGTGGAAATGTAGCTAGATGGTATGCTACCTTTCCATGTCCAGTCTCACACCCACATATATCAGGTTATTCCTGTCAGGAATCTCAAGAAAGTGCTATTAGTGGGAGTTTTCTTGTCAGGATTCTAGACACTACAGAAAGTGACAAGTGGGACAAAGTGCTCCTATTCAGAATTAAAGGTCCTCCATTCTGTGACCAGTAAGTACACTCCGTTCTCATCAGTACCTTTTAAGAATTTTTTCCCTAACATTTTGTTTACTGCTTCTGTCAGTCTTGGGGCTCTTCCATGGCTGTTCTGGTGACATGGGTAACATTACTCAGATCCTGAACATCAGAAAGAGTGGAAATGAGGAGCTTGCCCTTTTCTTCGGACTGGTTCCCTAGGTCTGAATTGTATAGCAGAAAGGTACATACCAATCACTACATAGTGAAGATGGAGGTGGGTGTCAGGAAGGAAAAGGTAGACTTAGCCTAGGCCAGAATTATCTGAGAAAGATGGGAAAAGACTGCCTGCACTCTTCCTAGACACGCCATTACACACACACGACAGAAGAATGCTGTGATAACTTTATCCCCAGGATGCAGTGCCAGACTCTGGCCTCAAGCTTGTTCCCCTGGCTTTCAAAATGAACTTTTGACAAACTAAGCAGGCTAGACAACAGCCCACCAAATGGCAACCATAGCAAAGTTTATTCTCTGTCTCCATAGATACCCTTAGAACATCTCTCCTACTTGCAGACTAGGAAATAGGTCAACAGTATGATACAACCAAACCAAATCCACTAATATGCAGATTCTGTGGCTGAAATAGCAAAAAGGACATTTCTGTATAGATTTTATTGGGAGGTGACTGGTATGCACTGGACCCTCACTAGTTTTTAGCTTATACTGGTTTCCTGCCTGCAACAAAATGGGTAAAGGATGATTACAGGGCCTCATGCTTCTTTCTCCTACTAGGCCAATTTCTCCAGCTCTCTCTCCTAGTAATGCAGGCTGAAATCAGTGTGCAAGAAGCTTCTGTACGGCATGTTCCATGTATCCTTTAAGAGAGGTCTCTGGCTGCATCTTAATGATATCATTGTTAGGCTATATAGAACATGGCTATGCTTTAGATCCAAGTCCATTTTTGGTAAAACCTTTATTCAGAGGCACTTTAGGAGGTCTTGAAAGCAGTGAGCATAATAGCTAAGACCTGCAAAACCACATCCTGGCTGAAATGTTTTGTGTGTAAACCTGACCTTAAGTTTTTGCTACACCACACCTCTGCCCACAAAACTTGAAAAAGAAATTAACTTGCCCTGGCTTTTGCTGGAGGTTTCTGCAAATGTAAAAAGCAAAAATGGGAAGATAGTGCTGTTGATAGAATTCAGTCTGAAGTCAGAAGCAAAGTAACAGTATTAGAGTTTCTCCTATGTTTTCCTTTACCACTTAATCATTTAATGTACAATTTACTATCAAGAAGTCATTACCACTGTGGATAGGAAAGGACGGATCATATATTATGAAGATTCCAGACTGTGAAATCACAACATTGCATGATATCAAGTTGTACATCCTCATGAATGAACTAATCCTTAGGGAACCAAATGCAGAATCATGTTCTAAACTCTGCATAGTTCCCCTTGGAGTGTGTAGAACCATTGGCTGCACTGCTCAACATCCACAGTCCCTATGGGGATTATGCCCAAGATTATGCCAATCATTTTTAGTCCTAGTGGTTTCACAGGGATCAGCATGCATGGCTGAGCAGCTGTGATGCAAAGCCAGCTATAGTGCCAGTAGTGCATCACTCAGCAGGTAGATGCTGAGAAACACAAGGCTTGCAGTTGAATAGTAAAGGTTATAGCTGCAAATAAAGTGGTACATTACATTGTACATTAGATGCCCCAGTTTACCGGGCAAAAAGTTTATAACTTGTTCTTGTGGGTTGCAGTTGCTTTTACGAGTAAAATAATTTTAGTATAACTTCTTATACAAATCAGAAATGGCAAGTATGATCTTCAAAGATGCATCCCCTCCTTCGCTTTCTTTTCTGAAGAAGAGATGCTTTTCTTAGCAGTATGCTTGCCAATATGACACATGGGAGCACTGTGAAGCCTTTTGCTTCAGAACGATTGTTCTTTTTACCCAGTGCTTTTTTTGTAAAAAAAAAAAATAAAAAGGTGCTGGAACTCACGTCACAGGCAGTAAGCGTGCGACCACACACACCAATCCCAAGCAGCGCCCTCACTATCAGATACCAGATAGCAGACACAAAAGCAGCCTGCGGGCACTATGTTAATGATGTTTGCTGCTGATCTGCTACGATTCAAAATCACTTCGTAAATCCATTGGAAAAAAAAGGTGCCAGAACGCTGTTCCGGTGCGTTCTATGACAAAAAAACGCCCTGTTTTTACCTGTAAGCAAATTGGTTCATATGAAGTAGCTAATAAATTAATGGACTCAGACTCATATGATTCACTGCCTAAGACTGTTTTCACCTGGTGACAGTAAAGTAGTAGTAGTAAAGACAAAGTAAAGACACTGGGTTTGTGAAGGAATACTTGGCAGCCCACTTTTTAGATATCAATTTCCCTAACCTAACCAAACCCAACCCTGAAGCCACAGCACGAAAGGGCTGGCGATCATGGCAGGGAGGAGGAAGTCTTTGTCAGCTGCGGCCCAATGCTGCCATGACGCTACCATGGCAAGTGTCCATGGGGTCGCATGCCAGCCACTTGCCAGAGCAGGCAGCCCTTCTGCTGCCCTGGCAACGTGGCTCTGAGGATTTTCTGCCTGACCATGACTTCATAGTGTTGCCTGGGTTCACACAATACAACAAGCTACACTGGGTCAAGCAAACCCTACAACAAGCCTTGGCTTGTATGCTTGGCTTGTCAGCCATGCCTTATTAGCCACCTGGAAAGCCACCACGGCTTCATAGCCACAGTGGTTTAGTGTGTCATGCAAACCCAGTCCATGTTCTCATGCAAACTGGCTGGCAGCTGCTGAAATCCAAGAGAGAAAGGACCTTGTGGCACCTAGAAGCAGCTTGAAGAGTGGGCCTCTCTCAATTTTGGGTATTAATGCCACTCACTGAGCTCTATCCCTATTTTGGGGTTATCTTTGACCATCATCAATTTTGTTTAAAATAAAACCAGGTACACTCCTAAACTCACAGTGAGATTCTATTATTAGCATTCTCGGAATAGATTTAGAACCTTTCATTTTAACCCAGACTGACAATAGGTGCGCATTGCTCCAAAAGCAAATGTATGGGAGAGTGGGAAGAATTTGCATGCCTGAAATCCAGATTTCAGCATTCCGTATAGATGAAGACATCAGAGTGCTTCCTGTTCCAATTTCTGCTTGTTGCTTTCATTGTTGGGAAATGTGCCACTGGATGCATGCTTTCAAAATTTGCAGCCAGACACAGCATGATATACACTTACCTCCACAGTAATGGTACCAGAATGACTGGACAGTATTTCAATTTGCCTTTGAAAGATTTCAATGACAGCATCGTAGACCAACTTGTATTGCTCCTGAATAAATGACACCAAAAAATCACATGGAAACTTGGTACTTTTACTTATTCATTTCTCTACTTCACAGGCCTGGACCATCCATGATAAAGATCTGATGCGCTGACACTTTCAGACAGAAAAGCTACAGGGCAGTGGATATACTTCCCAAAATTGAGGTTGGGGAACTCCACTTAATAAGTAGATGTGACATTCTTGTGCTGTTTTATTTCAGTAACTTGTTTATGGGTAAAAAAGCACAGCAGGACTGCTGAGTTTCAAGAACTCTGGAGCGTTCTTTTGACAACAGGTTATTTCCTGGTAGCAACAAGCATTTGAAGTGCTGAGTGCTCTTTTTACTAGCAAGTTTGTTCCGCAAGCATCTTCTCAGTACCTTCTTGATTTCTGATCTTCCTCCTTCTGGTAGCATCAATACTATTCCTTTTTTATCTCCCCAGGAAGCTTTCAGTGTAAATGTGTGCATCATTGCTGCACACAGAGATTCCTTCTCAGAGCACAGCAACAATGTCTATATAGGACACACTTCTTAACATTTCAGTAACATTATAAAAACAATCAGAATCTTCTGGACATACCTGAGTTTGCACTAATAAAGGCCTCTGAGTGCGCATTTCCTGAATCATGTTAAAAATGCTGAAGTTCATTGGAAGAATCTTGGGATAAAAAAAGACATAGAACTAGTCATGATGTGGAATGATCCATTGTAATAACTACATTGTATCTATTTCATGTTCATATAAGAAGTTTCACTAATAGCCAATTATTTCTCTCACTGATGTATACCAATCTGATGGAAAAAAAACCATCCTTTTCCTGTCACAGCATTCAGGACAGCAAATTTCTCATAGCACAGAAACTAAACTACCATCGATGAGCAGGTCTTTGCAATAATCTAGATGCCCCGATACATAACACATGACCAGATGGTTCCACTGAAGTTTAATATGGAAACAAGCTCTCACCCCATCTTTTACCAATGTCCGTGTATAGTCAATTGCACAAATGACTCCTGTTCGTCCACAGCCCGCACTGAAAGAAAGAAAGCATAGACTTTTGAGAGGGGGGTGGCAGTAGCTCTCAATTATATACAGCGTTCAAGTCTCTGTTTTCCCTTCTAAGTATGTTAACAAAATAGCATTCAACCTTCCTTGAAAGTTCCTCAGTCTATTCTTAATTGCACTAGTTTACAAGTGATAGGCAAATGTATCCACTTAATATCAGTTCAAATGCTCATCACCAGTGTTTGGAGGCAGAAGCAGCCCCAACATATGCATTTGATTATTTTCTTTAATATAGATGACCTTGGGAACTGAATGATGAGAGAAGGAAGCAAGCAAACAAAAGCAAACATTACATATAATGTTATCCATTAAACATGTGAAGTCATACATATGTTCTCTCTATAGATAGGGAGGGAGAGAGGTAGATATCTTATGATCCAATCTTACAGGTAGATATCTTACTACATGATCATCCAAAACTCTTTCTTAACATTTCATGGGTAGGATCTTCACTGGATTTCATTTTCATTTCTGAGGCAATTGATATTGCAATTCTTTCTCAGAGTTTTTCTATGTGAAAACCTTCTTAATCCACTGAATCTACTTTCAGTCTCATTGTTCTATTGAGACCTGGTGTTTCCTTTTCTGCTACAATAGCTCCAGTGGGATAGAGAAATATAGTGCAATTATACAAGTGGAAAAATAATGTCTTTTGCTTTCATAAATGATACATTTTCCCTGCTCTTAAAAAGTTCACTGAAAGTGCAGTTTAAAAACTGTAGGGTCATGACGTCATATAAAGAACCTGTACCCATTGTGGAATAGGAAATGATGAGGGCACAGTGAATATCTTGTATAGAAAATCTGACAGTGGGTACAGATCAGCAAATATTTTGCAGCACCCTTAGTGTTTGAGACATCTTTCTGTGCCACACAGATCCATATAAAGCATTTGGACACAAGTGTTTACTGTGCAGTTATGATTGGTTGCACACGATAATTTGTCGGTGCTTCTCATTGCCCTTCAGAGGCATTTGGACCACAACTCCCAGCATTCCCATCCAGCAGGGCCATTGACTAGGAATTCTGGATGTTTGTTTTCTTTATTTAAAAGTTTTGTACCCCGCCCAACTACTGACGTCAGGTTACAACAAGGAACAAAACAAAATGGCAAAGCAAAGCAAACACAGCATCCAGTGTTGCAGTCTAAACATGTCTGGAAGGCACAAGGTTGGGGAAGGCTGCTTTAGGGCCTTTTCCATATGTTGTCGCTTCCCTCCCACCCACACACTTTTTTTTTTTTTTTTGGACCCATCAAGGAACATCTGGTATTTCTGTGAATGGTAGCATGAAACCATAGTGTGTGTGCACAATTTTGTTATTCCTCAGCACGTGTGTGCGTTACATATAGAAGAGATATCCCTGACCCCAGATAAAAACATGGTAAAGGGTCCAATCTTAATCCTACAAAGAATGCAGAAAACAAAGCCTTGGTAAAGCTTAAAAGCTTCATGTAGAAAAGCCCATAGCACAGCAATCACAGGAAAAAGTGATGCTCTGATCATGATTCTGAGAGCTTGTGTCACTTGATAAGGCAATATTATAGCATAGGTTGCTTCGTGTTGCTTCCATTGTTTTAGACATTACACATTGCTGTAGGAAGACTCTGGATGCCTTGGGGCTTTCTTCCTTACACTGTTTTCTGCTCACATACCATTGAAGACCCACATATTTTTAATCAGATAAAAGGGGGGGGGGGTTACAATATGATTGTTCGGTTGATGTATGTCCCATTTTAAAACTTCTCCCCCCACACATGCACTTTGTGCTACCCACCGGAAGAATGATACAAATACACTCTTATTGCTACTGCAGCATTTCTCTCCAGCTACTTTGTTCTCCTTTGCAGCTGCTGCTTCAAAGCAGAAGCAGCTATTACTATCAGGAGTTTCCCAGCCTCCCCCTCCCCTAAATTCTCCCCCAGCCCATGCAAAACGCCTTCTGCTACACAAGCCAGCTGGAAAGTCCTTGTGTCCCCCTCCAGCATTACTTCTTTTATCATGCCTCATTCTTTTCTACGTTCTATGTTTTTGCCTTTCTTGTACTCTGGCATGATTTATTCAGGAATAAGCACTATTGAAGTCAATAAAACTTACTTCCAAGCAGGTATTTCATTGCAGTGACAGCTACTTCTTAATAAAAATAAAATGGGAGTGGGGAAGGAGCCCCTTGTTGTCAGGTTAGCAACAAACTATATTTTTTAATTTTTACTTAATATGGTTAACTCATATTTGCTTAATATGGTTAACTTTTAATTCAGTAGCATGCAACTCTTAACATTGAGATAGATTTCCTAGGTCCCAAATGCTAGAAAACATACTGACTTGATTCAGAAAACATTATCTGAAAGTTTCACTTTGGGAAACCAGCAAATGGGGACAGTACAGCTCCTAACTTATAGCTGAGTACAAGTTTTCTCTTCTCAATGAAGGCTATTTCAGAATGATCTGCCCATGAATTCTAAATATTTCCCCATAAATTTACACCAATTCATCAATTTGCAAAGTGTCACATGCCAATAGACAGGACCATAGTAAATGTGGCATTTCAGTGCAGGAAAACAAAGTTACTATTTTAGATTTAGATTTGTTATTTAATCACTAGCCTATATATATATATATATATGTATGTATGTATGTATGTATATATATATTACTGTATCACCCAATAGCCAAAGCTCTCTGGGAGGTTTACAGCAATGCATAAAAACACAATGTAAAAATACAGTTAACTCTAAAAAAGAAAAATATACTGTAACATTTAAAAGCCATTTTAAAATTGAATTTAAGTAGCTACAATCTGTGGTTTCTTCCAGGTAAAAATATCTTCCCTTCCACCTACTACTTACACTTAATATTATTACCATACTGGAATCTGTTTACCTTCTTTACAATAAACCAGCTTGCATCTTCTGGTCTTAGGTGTTTCTACCCTTACTAGACACAGGATAAGACTACATGAGGGGACTAAATAGCCTCCTTGATGCAGCATTCTGTCCCCTCTAACCCTGGAGAGTGTGCTCATCACATGTATCCAGGCTGAAATGAGGGGGCAAGATCAGGGTACAGCAGAGAGACACGGAAAATAACTAGAGGATAGAAACAGCGAAAATGGGAGATGGCATTATAAATGCAAGGAAAGCACCATTGATCATGGCCTCTAAATGATTCCATCAGGCCAGCATATATTTGCTTTTGAATAATAAAAGGATGCTCGAGCTTGTCTGTCCCCTTGAGTTAAGCACAGATCATCTCACCTGCAGTGCACACAGATAGGTACATCATAGTGTGCTTGGTAGCAACGCATCTCAATGATGAGCTGAAGAATAGGGTTGATTGAGGAGGGAACATCATGGTCTGGCCACTTTTTATAATGAAAGTGGTAGACAGTTCTGATTTCCTATAAAAGGCACCAAAATGGAAGATGCATTAGTACTGTGTTTAACAGATATGGTTCTCAATTATTGTATCCTCATATCAGAATGTAGAACATAAGAACAAATGTAAAAACAACCACGGTGGATCACACCAAAACCTTATCTAGCCCAGCATCATGTTCAAACAGTAGCCAATGAAAAGCTTATAAGCTGGACATGAGTACAACAGTTCTTTCCTGCCCATGTACCCCAATAAATGGTAGAGAGGGAACGGTAGATTGACCGGATTCCTACAACACAACAAGCCATGCTGGGCTTAAAAAAAGTCACCATCTGGCTGTTGTATTGTCTGAATCCAGTTGTGGTAATTCAGGATGGTACCTTTGGACTTTAGAAATCATGGTAATATTTGTTCTATGATTTCTGCTTACCACCATGATTTCCCATGGTGTCTGAACCTGCCATTGTGGTGTCCACAGTTCTGGTGTTCAACCTCCACATAATACCCTGGAAAGAGCAGCCACTCTAGGAGTGTTCCAGCCTCTAATACCCATCTCAGCCTAGAAACAGATGTGTCACTGTTTACTTTGCTCCTACAGGTAGCTCTCTGTTCCCACCCCCCTCGACCTTCTCTGTCATCTAGATGCCCACCTGTCAGTTTCCAGTTGTGGAGAAGCATGCAACCCTGCCCAAAAGAGAGGCCTTGAAGTTGGTCATTCTCTGTATTGCTGTGTGCCTGCTGCAGTTTTCACAGATGCCTGTATGAGCTTTTGTGCCTTTTACTTTCATTCCAAAATATGTGGATACTTGGATATATGCTAGCATGGGAAAGAATGCAGTAATGTGTGGGTGGGGTTGGGAGCAAATATCTTATAGGCATAGTTTTTAGCATAGCTCAGCAGAAGATTGCATACTACCAGAAGATTTTACTAGCCACTCTTGAGATAGTAACTCATAGTTTCTATATGAAGAAATTTTTTAAAGCAAACAATTAAGTGTTCTTAGTCTACTGAAATGAAGATATTCTCTACTATAGAACTTTCTTGTTGGGATGGCTTGATTTGGTATTAGGAAGATTTGTTGATGTTAGGATAAAGACTGCAGTGCATTTTGATGGGGATTGTGGGGAATGTTCCCATAACTTTGTGGAAGAAGATTGTGCAGAAAACTTGTTGGTGTTTGGGAATATATGATGTATTTTTGGCAATGAAGGGGGAAGGAAGACTGGCCTTTCTGTTCATCCAAAGGGAAGGGAGGACATATGAGTGGAAGGAGAAGGGGAAGCAGAGGGGGAGGGAGAAGCAGAAGGAGAAGGAGAAAGCTGTAAGCTGCCTTGGGTTCCTCTCAAGAGAAGAAAAGGCAAGTTATAAATTTAATGAGAAAAAACGTAATAATGAGACAAGAAGTCCTTGGAGATATTGAGGACAACAGGCTAAATATGAGCCAGCAATGCGATGCAGCTGCAAAAAAGGGCAAATGCTATTTCGGGATGCATTAATGGAAGTGTTACTTCCAAATTATGAGAAGTAAATTCCCCTATTCTCCCCACTAGTCAGACCTCATCTGGAATACTGTGTCTCGTTCTGGGCACCAAGAAAGATGCAGAAAAATTAGAAAGGATCTGAAGTAGGGCAACAAAAATGATCCAGGGCTTGCTGGAGAACTGTGCAGACAGGGGTGTGTCCGGTAGGCTGACCAAAAATAAAATAAAATAAAATAAAATAAAATAAAATAAAATAAAATAAAATAAAATATCTACTTATTAAGATGGACAGAAGAGGGGTGGGACATTTCACTGGGTGATGTACCGGAGAAAAGGAATTGCTGGGCTACAGTGGACAAACCTTTCCAGTATACATGCTACCTGTGGGAAGGAAAACATGGGGGGTGGGGGGTGGGGACCTAACTGACACGTCCCTCGTCCCTGCACTATGTCAAGCCTCATTGCCTCTCCACTGAAGGGTGGATGTGTGAGTGAGATGGCACAAGAAGGTGATTTCTATAGACAGATCCATAATTAATAGGAAGCTTTGGCTGAGAGACTTGAGAAAAAACGGAAAAAAGGAGAGAGTGACAGAGCATACCCAGGGAACTGTGTGGACCAATCAGGAAGAGGCAGTTGACATCCTGGGATCAAATTTTAGGTGTGGTGGCTGATAGGATACGTGCCACCAACAGAAGTACTGGATAGGGAGGATGGAAACCATGATAATGTAGAACTACTTGATTGTTTGTTGGGTAGATCATGGTAAAAAAAGAAAAGAGCTGTGATAACCAGCCAGGGTTGCTTATTGTGACGTATGAAGCCAGCCTTCAATAATGGAGGTAATATATGGCCCTCACAACTACTAGCCATTGTGGGTTTGTAGCTGGCTGCGGTTGTTAGTTTGGCTATACTGAACACCCTGAATGCATGACTAAAAATAGCAAAACACACCTAGACTATTCTATTAAATCTGGTTTCCAGGCCAGTATTTCTAGTCTCACTTTCAAAGGCAAACAGCATATCTGCAACAAATGACACCCTGCCCGCATCCTGTGGTGCTTAATCATATAGAAACATAGAAACAGAGCGAGTCAGAAGGGGTCTCCCAGGCCATCTAATCTGACCTCTGGCACCAGCCGGCTCCACTCACGACATGCCCACCATGTGGACGTCCAGCCTATCCTTGAACACCCGCACTGATGGGGCCTCAACGACCTCTCGTGGAAGCCCATTCCACACCCTCGGGGTCCTGACTGTCAGGAAGTGCTTCCTGGCATCCAAACGGAACCTTGGCTCCCTGAGCTTTGCTCCATTGGAGTGTGTCCTGCCGTCCTCTGCAGGGGAGAACAGGTCTCTACCCATCTCC